GTCAAGATGCTTCCACCCCCCATACGCCTTTGTTGCGTGGTGCGTAATTTAGCACAAGAACAATTTCTAGCGTATTTTCATTATTTGTAAAACATAAAAGGAGGCTTATGAGATAACCTTGCTGTCTGTGTGTCTGTGTAGGCGATTAGGTCTTCCCAGAACTTCTTGTTATTTTTAATTAAAAATGTATTAGGGCACAGTTTCGAAATTTTGCTGGGGGCACTGAACAGGAACTTCACTCTCTGTGGGCCGTGGATGTTATTTTATTGTATTCATTCATTCTTTTTCTTTTTCGGAAATCGCATTTCAGACGGGTTTGGGCGCATCAATCAAGGCTACGTGCGGTAGCAATCAGTCATTGAGTCCCTGAAGTTTATACCAAGCGGCGATTATTCATTTCCGATTTACGTTTAATTGTATACGGACGGATATGAAGCGCTTGCCCACGCGTTCCCGTGATTGATGATAACGGACGCACAGACCAACTCAGTATGTCGCTTCAACGATTTCAGCTGTTTCAAATCGCGATTGATGACTGGGAAGTTTCTGGGGCGTGACGCCGTGTGGTTCTTGCCGGTTACTTATTTCACTTTTTCCTAGGTTCTGAAGATGGAGGCGCGCAGGTTCATCCGAAACGTACATGGGTTTCTACGGGACTGCATGATACTACCCTTCATAGTTACCGCTGTGAGAAAATAAAATTCAGCAAAAGTACGCATATGTTTAAAGATTGTGCCTCAACTGTTAACGTTACTTAGAAATGTGGACATGATTAATATTCGGCACTGCCGAGCGGGAAACGCTCTGTGTTTGTATTGGGAACGTACTCGGTTCGAACCTCTACTGGGACACCTGCTCCTCTGATTGAAGTTCTTGGGTTACCTGTGTCCACAGGCAACTTTCCGAATGGTACTGTACTTCGGCCATGGAGCCGGGACAACTCAGTCGGTATAGCGACTTGTTACGGGCTGGAGTTCGAGTCCCGGTAAGGTCAAAATCTGTCTCCTCTCCACGGTGTCCAGACTGGCTGTGGCGCCCAGCTAGTCTCCTATCCAGTGGGTACCGAGTAATGCGGCAGGGGCGTGAAACTAACCAATCACCTCCATAGGTGTCGATATCAGTAATGGTAGAGCTATACCTCCACTGTCCCATAGGTCTCCATGGCGTGGTGCTTAGTTAATAAGCACAGGGAAAAGTTTTCAGGGGCAGACCTTGAGGATTGCGAAGTTGACCGCTTACCTGTTCCCAGTGACAAGATTATGATTCAGTGGATATTTACCTCCACTTCTCGAGTGGCCAAACACAGAGTCATATTGATCAATTTCTTCCTGTGGTGTTCATTTAACGACGCTCTCAGTAGCTCGGAATGCACGGCATCGATCACTTTATGATGTATTGTAATTGGGAAGAAGTGGTCGTGGCCTAATTTAAGGCACTATACCAGCATTCTACTGGATGGACTGAGGAAAACTAGGAGGAACCTCAAAATAACGTGTTCCGACCGAGATGTGAACCAGGAACCTCCCATAGACTTTGTCGTGTGAGTCAGTTTGGCGTCTTATTCGTTTTATGTATGTTAACGAAGTCAGTCGTTTAATTGTGCTCTTGCCATATGCCACTCTTGCCCGTGGGCTTCGTGTGCTTTGAGGGGGGAGGGGAGAGGTTCAACAATGCAATCCGTCAAGGCGCGATGGATATGAGTGACAGGTACAAATCAGGGGTCGACCCCCCCGTCCCATGCCTTGGAATGTCGATCAGCGGGGGGAATTTGATCAGTAATCTGGGGGCCCGGTCCAAGTTTCGAGAGATGGATGGACCCGCTCATCGTGAGAGGCAGCGGAGGTTCCCCGCGGACTGGCACGAAAAAGTGAAGGTGGCCAGGTGTCACCCTCCATCGCTGTGGGAAAAGGGGTGGGGCGGGTTTCGTATCGCCTCACGTTCACATGGTGTGTACCGTTTGCACCAAACGCATAACAACGTGGCAATAGCCAGGAATATGAAGCCACGTAGCCCGCTGAAAGTCAACCAAGCAGAGACAGTCCCCAGTAGCACGGGAATGACCCCTCCTCTCGTCTACGAAGAAGCCCCATTTCAAAACAAGTAAAAACCTGAAAACGTAAAGTTGTCCCTGTACTTAACTAATTAAGCACTACACCATGAAGGCGTATGGGGGAGTGGATGTATAGATCCACATTTCTTTTACCGCGACACTATTTGGATGTGAGTGGTCAGCTTCACGCCCCGGCCGCTTTACCCCCGGTGCCTATTGGATAGCAGGTTGGGTGGACCGTAGAGCCGGTGTGGACGACATAAAGAAGAGAAAATTCTTGACCTTACCGGGACTGGATCTCCGACACCTCGGTCATCCAGTCAGTAGTCAGTCACTATACCGACTGAGCTATCCCGGCTCTTTAAAAGGTAAGACTATCCCTGTAATAGGCCATGGAGGCCCATAGGGTTGTGAGACGTCGAGGTTCCCACATTTTGAAGACAATCGGTTCATAGATGGAAGTGAGCTTGTCAGCCTTACGCGCCGGCCATACCCTCAACAAGGTTCGTGGTACTCATTTCTGTTAGAGGCTGAGTCAACCCCAGGGCCATAGTGCGGCTGGAAGGATTAGGTCAATTAAAAAATCCAATGACCTCATCGGGAATCGAACCCGCGACTTTCGGGCTTGTGGTATAGTGCCTCTGAAGTCGCTTACGGGTAATAACACATAAATATTTATTCAGCTTTTTAGAAAATATTTGTGGTTTTCCGCCCCGGAAAACTTTGCAACGGCCCTTCCGACATAGCTTTCCCTCATCCCTCTTTGAGACACAAAATGCATTTCCTTCTTTCAGAGGAAGCAGAAGTGGCATGTTGGCAACACTGCCGCGTCATGTGCACGTCTCAATCTGTAGCCATTTTGGGGGCCGTACACTCCATTGTCCTAAATAAACGCGGGGGCGTCCATATTGCATGTCTGTTGACTTCCTCCAAGGACTGAAGGTGCCGCTCCACCTGCACTTCTGAGGTCACACCTCCACTCATGACGTTCATGGTGTTTACCGATGCACCAGTTGTGGCCAAACTTTAACACATGATCGCGCCCTCCTGCCCCACGTCATCGTCCCTCCGCGATTGTATTTTTGTTAGTGTTACGAGATGTGGAAACGTCTTAAGCCCAATTAAATAGTCTTCTTTAGCCTGCTTTCTATGTGTTTCCACCTAAAAAGTCGGATTAGTGGAGGCAGAAGAGACGGTCGTTGCTAGGCAACGGCTTTTTTGTATTGCTAGTGGGATTGGACTAAGTCCCTTGTACTGCGGTCACTTCTGGCCTATTGTACCAGCCCCAGATGATAGGTGAGGGTGATTGTGGAGCAATTGGTGGAATGAAGATTGGCAGGAGAAACCGAAGTACTCGGAGAAAACCTGCCCCAGCGCCACGTTGTCCACCACAAATCCCACTTGACGAGACCCGGGCTTGAACCCGGGCCGCCGCGGTGGGAAGCCAGCGACTAACCGCTTGAGCTGTGGGGAGGCCTAGGCAACGGCTTGGTAAAAACATTTCCGCGGCAATAAATACGCAACAATGTAAGAACTGTTGGACGCGGTGTTTTCTGTGCGATCCATACAGTATCAGGTACTCAATATGTAATGCAAGTACGATCCCGAAACCAAGGACAGCTGTGCTGGCGAAGGCCAGCAGCAATTTATTGATGTGATGGTGATGTTCTAGAAAAGGAAAGTAGGCGATGAAGTCTTCCGAGAACTTTCTGTCTCTTGAGTCCTGTTAGAAACCATGACTATTCCCTTACTTTGTTTATTTAATCTTATTTTGACAACCAACACGTAAACAAAACCGTATGTTCATTTACGATCAATCCTACACGTACGTGGTAATATTGTATTAATGACACAATCTAACTGCAGAAAAATGGATCCACTTTAGTTTGACAGTTCAGTGAAAACACACATTATATATTCATAAATTACACAGCTGATGTTCATCGAAAGTTGTAGTGGATAGTAAATAACGGAACAAAATACTACAATTTATTAATATTAGTTTTATCAGGTTTACGTATCAACAGCCACCACAGAAAACCTCAATATCTTCTGTATCTTCTCAGATAATATCTTAAATGAAAACGATATCAGCCCAACTAACGGTGGCATAACAAACTGTTTAATACAAGAAGAATTCCGCCTTCTGGGATGTGGCGCCGTGTAGATATTGTGTGACCCGATGTTTCGGAGGGACGTATCGCCTCCATTTTCAGGGTAGAAAATCCGGGAGCTGTCTGCAGCCACCTGCTGACGCTGGTTCGTCGCTCGCGGATTTCATACCCTGAAGATGGAGGCGATATATCCCTTCGAAACGTTTACACAAGATTTACGCGGCGATATATCCAAAAATACGGCATTCTTCATAGTCACCGCCGTGAAAACCTCAAATCTTACAAACTGTTTAGAACAGTTTAACATTTTATTGTAAAGATGGGCCCTAGCGCCCCGGACCAAAACTGTGAGTAAAAATTTGAAATTTTAGAATGAAAATTCTGCACGTTTCTATTCATTCGGCGAGGAACAATACCGACAAGTGGTGAAATCTAAGCGCTCTAATTTTATATATTTGGGATTAAGAAATGTGAGGGCTCGGCAAACCCAACTGATTCAGAGCCACAGACATGTAGCGGCGCCTCCCTCAACTGCAAAAGTAAGCCAACTATTTTCCTTCCTTGCAGCTGCCCCTCTGGGTTGTGAGACAAATACCTCGGTTACATGAAAGATGGTGCCGGCCACGGTAGCCGAGCGGTCTAAGGCATGTACTGTCTTCGCTCGCTTGAAAACCGGGATCGTGGGTTCGAATCCCACTCAGGGCATGGATGTTTAGTTTGTGTGTGTGCGTTTTTCTGTGTTTGTGTACAGGTAGAGAGGCCTTGCGAAGAGCTGATCACCCGCCCAAGGAGTCCTACCGAATGTCCAAGATCTAGAAAAACCGAAGTGAACGGAGAAGTTCATGTAGGTAGGCCTAGGCCCACTGGGGCTGTAGTGCCAAGGAAAAAGAAAACATGAAAGATGGCTGCATAAATAAAGGTAAGAGGCTAATGCAAATACTGCGCTGTGAGCGTGTGTATACCCCGTCTGTAGTCACACCGCAGACACGTGACAATACAGGCAGTCGGTAGGAGGGGATCATGCTGTCGCAATGCCGCTACCTACACATGTTCATGCTTCGAGCGGGATTCGAACCCACGACCCCAGTGTTTGAGCAGGCGGACAGAGTTCATGTTGCAGCCCGCGCGGCCACTGCGATCCGAGGTATTCAGAAGATACTGAGGCTTTCACGTGGCGATACTCACGATAAAAAGCGAAAGGAACGTAACAGATACAGTCCTTAAATGGGTAGAGCGGGCCTGTGAGTTGCTGTGACAGATAACAGCCGCCATGTTTTCCTTATTACTTAATGTATAAAGTTCGATAATTCGTGATTTCACGGTTGACAGATCCCCTTTTGTACGGAGCGACGTGGCTTTGAATGGCTGTTTTTTCTTGCCTCGACAGACGTGTTGCCAATCCGTACAAAAAAAGAAAACAAGTGAACGCGAAAGGATTCCAGAACGGCGGAATGTCTCGTTGCCATAGTAACGCAACTGGGTCAAGGGACGAACCGCCGAAGCGTACAGATCTGACGTCACATTGTGATTACATATTTAAATAGAACGTGTGAAGGCGGTTATCACGTATCGGAAGGAACGCACTGGAATAACATTTAATTATTTATATAAATATTCACTTAACAACTTGAAGTCTCTGTTGTATAAGATTTTGTAACTCATATTCATTTCGACTCCTATGTGTTAGCGAATGATCCGTCGAGGTGGATGCTTAATGCTATCTCCCACGAATAACAAGAGCAAATAGTCTATTGTAGACCGTCCCATTTATATACTAGTGTACTGCACATGTACGTAACTGCATCAGATTATCAGTACTCACAGAATAAACACGATACAGTGAAAGAAAAGACTCTTCATTCGTTCGTGACCTCTTACATGACTTACTCTCATGCACCGTGTTTGCGCTCGACAATTAATTACAATGGTGAGTCCATGTTGCTTAATATCAAAACTTTAATCTCTCCGTTACAGAAATTCTTTGCTTACAGAGTGAGTGTTACGGCAGGCGTCTCTCATGGAAATGACAACTGATGAAAGAAAGACTGTTCTTGGCAGAATTAGTACTATCTGCAACCAGTGCATGCAGTGATCTGTCGTCGCACTGTGTTTCTGTAAGCTCACGTAATAACTGAGATGTCGAATGTTGTGAGAATAGCGGATGCTCAGTCAGAGAGTCGAACGGGGCACTTTCCGAATACAGATCAGAGGCTCTGTGACATCAGAAAGAAGTCCCACTGCGTTGTAAGCCTATATACGTGGGGCTACGCCTCCACTTTTCCATACGCCCTCATGGCGTTTTAATAAAATAAGCACAGGAGAAGTTTCGCTTTATTATAATTTGTTATAAGAAATGAATGTAATGTTTATCAGATTTCAGAATGAATTGCTTTATACCCATGTTCCTGCCCCTTGAGCTGTGAGATAGCCCTGTCACGCAGCACCTTATCACATTCACGAGCTTTAAGTTGGGGGCTGCATCTCTGACCCGGCACCTGCCTGGTTACGGAATAAGGGAGTTCAGATTCCGTTATAGAACTGTGCAAAAAGTAAAGTTGCCTTTGTGCTCCAATAAGAAGGCCATGAAGACGTATGAGGGAGTGGAGGTATAGCTCCACACATTATAAATCTTGGCACCAGATGCAGATGATTTGATAGTTTCATGCCTCGACCAACTTAACCCGGGGAAATAGCCTCCTATTTCTATTGGTGGACCCCAGAGTCGGTCTGGACACTCCGGAAGAAGATAGCTCTGTCCCGGCCTGGAATCGAATCCCCGTTACTCAGTGTCCATATCTTTAAGCAATATGGCGTCATAAAAAGTGTTTGCTTCTCTAGATAATTCCTTGCGGAAGAGGTAACACTCAAGGCTTTTGGTTCGAATCTCGGCCATGACACTGACCACCGTCACAGAGGTTCAGCTACTGAAGCTACTGATGAATTTCCCAAAATTTATTCCATACTACTACATCCTATCTCTCTTAAGTTCCATTTTAATATTATCCTCCCACCTACGTTTATGTCTTCCTAGTGGTCTCTTTCCTTCTGGCTTTCCCACCAATATCTAATATGCTTTTCTATTCGCCCTCCTTCGTGCTACATACCCTGCCCACCTAATCTTCCTTAACTTGATCATTCTAAGTATACTTAGAAGAGTACAAGTTATGAAGCTCCTCATTATGCAGTTTTCTCCAACCTCCTGTTTTTGTGTCTGAGCATTGATGGCATCGTTAAATAACCTACAAGAAAGAGAATATTTCTATCTCCTGGGATATATCTTCTTGTATCCCGTTGAAAGTTACCCGACGTTTCGGGGGAATATATTACTCAACCTTCAGGATTGAATAGTAAGCCAAGCAGGATTTGCAGCCTGCTTCATGCTGGTTTCTTGCTTGGCATTAGAGGCGACATGTTCCACAGAAACGTCGGTTAATTTCCAACTGACTACAAGAAGTTATATCCCAGAGGAGCAGAACTCTGCGGGAACCTGAAATCCAGTAAGGGGCCTAGAAATTGGGGCCCCCACGTATGAAGCCTTTCAGCTACTTGGGAAGCCGGACCAAACAGAAGCATTTAAATGTCAGTAGCCGTTGCAACAATGACACAGCATTTGGTGGGGATTCTTCTTCGCCTCGTGAGATGACAGAAACATCCCCCCTCCCCCCAATATCACGATTGTTCTCTGTGCCTGAGTTTCTCGCGCATTCCACTTCTGTCTGCAGCCCAATAGCTACTGCATTTTCTTATTAGGTCACGTTTGGCTTGAGGATGCCTTCGTCATCCGCGTTTCTGTTCCCCGTGGCACTTCTTCAGACTCGTAGCTAGCAACCTTCATTACCAGCAAATGGCACGCTACACTAAAAGGGCCCGTTTGCTTTTGGATCACTTTATACAAATATCAAGGACATCGGAATGTTACAGAGTGACGTGACTGCATCTGTCACGTGGACCGAGCGTCATCACGCGATAATCTCTGCGGGTTCATCTAATTAAAATGTTCCATTACATACATATCTGGACTGGACGGCCGGGGTTCAATTTTTGGCAGGGACAATGTTTCTTCTCTTCTCTATAGCGTCCAGACCGCCTCTGAGGCTCACCCGGTCTGCCATTTAATGGTTATAAGGGGCGATTTCTTTGGGGGTAACGCGGCTGGGGCGTGAAACTGACAATTCACATCTATCTAGTTCCAAGGTCAAGAATGGTGGAGCTATACCTCCACACCCCAAATGTCTTCGTGGCATAGTGCTTAATTAATTACGTTCAGGGAAAAATTTACCCATTTTACTTATAATGTGTATATATATAGGTTATGAGCAGAGGACTGAAGTTGACTGGGGCATTTGCTGCGATCGGAACTTTGACATCAGTGTTTGAAGGACTGCATTAGGGGGGAAATCTTTATGTTTAATATTGACAGGGCTGCGTGTAAAAACATGCAACGTCAAACATTTTCTCTAGTACCAAGGGAAATCGCGGAAAATGTTAATCCATTTGCTCAGAGGAGAACAGTAATTTTCAGCTGACCTTCGCCAGCGCTGCTGTAATAAACTTGGCAGCATATATATATATATATATATATACAAACAATATAAGCCCTCGCTAATACGGTTACAGTTAATCCGGATTGAAATATGAAAAATGGTGTTCGTAGTTGATTACATGCTTTAAAAGACACGTGATATTCAGGAAGGCAGATGGGTCACTTGCCTGTTCAGACAAAACTTGACAGTTTCTTCAACCCTGCATCATTACGTTCAAAAACATGTACAATTTCTCAGGCTTCTATCGACGAATAAATGTATTGTCTTTTCATTTTTTAAGTAAAGACTCTATAGTGATATTTTTTATTTTCATCAGCACTACTTATATCTAACTTTTACTTCACTAATCCGGATTATAACTAATTCGGATGCCCCCGAAATTAATCCCGATTAGCTAAGGTTTATTATATATATATATATATATATGACTTGTTTGCAAGTTTCCTGCCGCGGACCTAACAGAGAACAACCATTGATAGTAGGAGATCTTCCTTAGTGCTCTTGCCAGTATGTACGGAGGTCACGGCTGTTGAAACAATTTGCAGGCTTTGTGGTATAGGTTCTGGATTAATCTGTTACAATTGATGATATCAGAAATGTTTAACTTACTAATTTCTGAACCCTAATACGTATAATTGTCATATTATTTTAAGAAGGATCCAACTTTTAAACTTTCACGTTATGCACGAAATGAAATATTACAATTCAGTGTAGCAGTTAATTGAATCACATATACCTTGGTTTCCTCTGAGTTTACTTCTGGACCAACCTCCTTACTTGCGTCAATTAAAGATTCTATGTTTTCAATGCCACGGTAGATACGGAAGACATTTTCAGTTCCAATGATTATGTGATGTGATTCTTTATACTTTGGGCATCTGGCTACTTCCTAATATAACGGGCTTTAAATACGCGTTCATACGGAGTTCGGTTCCATACATTATTGCGCAGTATGTTTGTTAAGTTTGTTAGTTGCCTAAGCAAACGGCGACTCGGGTTCGATCCCGGGTCTGGTCAAGTTGGATTTGTGGTGGATAAAGTGGCGCTGGGGCAGATTTTCTCCGAGTACTTCGGTTTCCCCTGCCAATCTTCATTCCACCAATTGTTCCACAATCATCCTCACCTATCATCTGGGGCTGGTACAATAGGCCAGACATGGCCGCTGTACAAGGGACTTAGTCCCACCTCACCGGCAATAAAAAAATTACTTAAGCAAACATCATCAGCAAAACTTAACTACTGTTAGATCTGAGATTATCACAGCGGCGATAACGAACGTGCACTCCGACAGAAGTTCACGGAAACTTCGGAGGAAAGCACTGCCTCCGTCTTCAGGGTCAAACATTAATCCAAATCAGGAAGAAACAAACAGCAA